TTGAGAACAACATGTGATTCAAGCTTGTTTTCATAAACACGGCTTAGCTGTATTTAGTTTGGTTTCATTCCCAGGAACAAAGTGCAGTTGAGGCAAACGTGTGTTCCCCAGGTTTTTAGCTCAGGTCTTTTCTGAACATGTGTCCTGTCCTGGCTGTTGCAGAGACTGTTTGGAAGAAGAGTCAGAGTCTGGAAATGTCTAACTTACATGGATAAAGGAGAGGAGGATGGACAATACTAGCCACCCAACCCCTACCTCCATGGCCTTTTATTAAGTTTCACAACAATGCTGGCTTTGTAATTTAATAATAGTTACTCTTAGGTCAGCAGATACAAGCTACAGCCAACTCCCAGATTCAGCCTCAAAGCCACTACCGTGTTCTCAGCTACTTCCTCTCAAGTATCTTTTTCTTATCCTCTTAAGTATCTTTTACTAGTCCCTAGAGCAAGAAGTCTCGGAATTGGTCAGGCATATGCGCCCTCCCTGCAATATGTCCTTGTGTGCAAGTCCACATTTGCTTCCATTGTTCTGTTGCTCCAAGCACCAAACATCCTGCCAGGACCACAGGCGTCTCTTACAACACCTGGCCACATGCTTAGTTTTTGAAATTACCAGGTATCCACAGGAGCCTTTTAATGCTCTAATTTCCCAAAGAAATTCTCTCCTCAGCTTCTCCTCCCAGGCACTCAGTATTCTGTTGTTTGCCTGAACTGTAATCACCCCTTCTCCCCACTCTCACACATTGATGGCAGCTGTTTGCTCATTTGCCTTCCAGTGTTTTGGGGGAATGCTGTCTGCATAACTCCTTTTCTGTTCTGCGTGATTTCCTTAGGTGGAGCAAAGGCAAGCACCGTGTGTCATTCCTTCAGGTGGTCTCCAGATAGGTTACAATAGAGCGTTCATTTTTTTGGTTAGAATTCTTTGAGAATAAGTTCTGCTCTCCTTTCTTTAGAAGCAGAGACCAGGGTTCTACACTGTGAATGTGGGCTATCGTCTTCAAGACCACCACTCAGCCACAAGGGGAAAGGGGCAAGGGCAAGTAAAAACGGCGAAGCTTTCCTACTATTTTTTCCTTTCTTTTTAATAAACAGACTTTTTATTTTTAAAGAGCAGTTTTAGATTCACAGCAAAATTGAGCAGACAGTCCAGAGATTTCTCTCTCCCTACACATGCACAGCCTCCCCCACTAACAAAATCCTGCACTGGAGTGGTACATTTGTTATAGTCAATGAGCCTACATGGGCACATCATTATCACCCAAAGTCCACAGTTTCCATTAACATTCACTCTTGGTGTTATATATGCGACAGTGATGTATATCCATCTACCTATACTATCATACAGAATAGCTTCATTGCCCTAAAGATTCCATGTTCTGCCTATTCATACCTCCCTCCCCCCTAAAACCTGACAGCACCAATCCTTTTGCTATCTCCATAGTTTTGCCTTTTATAGAGTGTTATATAGTTGGAACCATATAGTATGTAGCCTTTCAGATTGGCTTCTTTCATTTAATAATACGCATCTAAAGTTACTCCATGTCTTTTCATGACTTGATAATTAATTTCTTTTTAGTGCTGATATTCCATTGTCTGGATGTATCACAGTTTATTTATCCATTCACCTACTGAAAGACATCTTGGTTGCTTCCAAGTTTTGGCGATTATGAATAGAGCTGTTACAAACATCTTTGTGCAGGTTTTTGTGTGGACATACTTTTCAACTCCTTTGGGTAATTACCAAGAATCATGATGGCTGGATCATATGGTAAGAGTATATTTAATTTTGTTAAAAATTGCCAAACTATCTTTCAAAGTGGCCATACTATAATCAAGTCCAAGCTTGTGCCTCTTGCTGCACAACAGCCAATGAGTCGAGTGACAAGGTGTCAGAGAAAGAAAAGCAACTTTATTTGTGAAGCCAGCAAGCCAAGAAGATGGCAAACTAGCATCCTAAAGAACCATCTTAAGAAAGTACAGAAATCAGGCTTCTTTTATATCAAGGGGGAACAGGAGGGGCAAGAGGCGATTGACAACCACAGACATCTGGGGGCCAGCAAGAGTCTGAGGAAGATTGTGAAACTTCTTTGTTGTTAGTCTATTGACTCCAGTTGATGTGAGTCTGGTCATGAGGTTCCTTCAAATCTTTGATAAATAATCATTATTATTTTTGTACATACTTCCCTTACCCCCTTGGGAGAGGCCATTTCTGGTAAGGGGCCATTTTTGTAAAACTCACACCATAAGCAGAATGACTCAATATTAAGCAGAAGTTATTAAGCTGAAGGCCATGAAAACAAAACAAGCATGAATAAGATGGAGTCAGAGAGGCTGAGCATTTCACTCTATTATACCATTTTGCATCCCTGCCAGAGATGAATGAGAATTCCTGTTGCTTCATATCTTCTCTAGCATTTGGTGTTATCAGTGTTTTGGATTTTGGTCATTCTAATAGGTGGGTAGTGATACTTCATTGTTTTCATTTGCAATTTCCTAATGACATATGGTGTGGAACACCTTTTCATATTATCATTTGCCATCTGCATATCTTCTTTGATGAGGTAACTGTCCAGATTTTTCGTCCACTTTTTAATTGGGTTGATAGTTTTCTTATTGTGGAATTTTAAGAATTCTTTGTATATTTTAGATAACAGTCCTTTATCCTTTAGATTTTTCACAAATATTTTCTCCCAGCTTTCCTACCATTTTTAAGTTAACATTGTCTTAGTTCATTTGATTTCTGTAAACATTCGACTATTTTCCAGAGTTCTGACAAAGTTACTTTTGATGGTTTTTGCTTAATTGTTCATGTTTTATAGAGAGATGGGTCTTTGGAGCTACCAATCTATTTTCATTTACATCATCTCTGTTTTTTATCTGAACTGATCCTAGTAGGTTGTTCACATGGTGAATAACAGTCACAATAGGATGCAGAGAGATGAGGAGGGAGGTATTCAGATCCAGGTCAGGATTCTACCCAGTACTAACATGGAAGTTTCCAAGACAACAGAAAAGAATGAGTCTAATCTATGATAGCCAAAACAGAATTTCAGGAAAGTCGTATTTCTCTCCTGGCTCTGAGTGGCCCTGTGGTAATATTTTCTCTCTCCTAAGTACTGGACAACAGAGAAGTCTCAGAAGTCTGGTATAGGGAAGGTATAGGGAAAGCGAAGAGAAATGAGGGAGTGGAAGAAGAGACGGTATTAGAGAAAATTAAAATCTCCTGCCAACCCGAGAAATCCTCTTCACAAATGTAGAAAAGAAAGAAAATAGTTTTATTATGTTATTATTGAATAAGCATTAAACCAGAGTACAAAATGCATTGTAGGCAATCTACCAATGAAATTACGGAGACAAAAAGAAACACCAATTTTTATATAGTTGAGCAGATACGACCCATCACAAACATGTTTTCAATATTAACGGTAATTTGTCCTCTTATAAGAGGATTTTACAACATTATTTGCTATACGTTTTTTCACAGTTCATCATAAATTCACCTGGTAATTGGGGTAGCCACCTGTGCTAGTAATTGTTTTTATTTGAAAGAAAAATAAAATCTCTTCTATCTCTGTGTCTAGCAGGTGGTTGGTTACAGGTTGGAGCCAGGCACCTAAGCTAAACTCCCACAATGACAGGAGTCTAGGGGCAGTATCTTCCTTAACGTTTGCATTTCAAAGAGATGGCTCCCAGGTCTTTTAAGAAAAACATTCCTAGATTGTAAAGCTGGCAAGATACTTTTCAGCCTTTAAAAAGATTTACGTACATACCAAAGGAGCACATTTAAAAATAGGTTTCTCAAGGAAATGCTCTAAGAAAAAGGAGGGAGGGACTAGTCTATTTTCTCTTCCGCTATGGTGAAAACTAAATTTAACTCACACTTACCATTACAATTCAAACTCCTGTTAAAAAAGACAATAGACCCCACAAGGAGTCACTGGAGCTAAACCCAAGTCACCAGACCAACACTTAACACCAGTCAGTCTGGAGTTTACCTGGTCAGCACGAGTGAGGAAATTCCATCCTCCCCCTTGCCCGCTGTCTTCCCCTAAGGGAAGGTGACCTTGCCTGAAACAATCCACTCTTTGCTAGTACTTCCTTCCCCGCCCCACTTTTCTATAAGGCCTATAAAGGTCTCCCATTTTATACAGCTTCTCAGAGTTCCTATCTGCTAGGTGGAGTGCTGCTCGAGTAGTTGAAGAAAGTCAATTAGATCAACTTAGTTGAATTTTGTTTTTAACACCCAGATCCTAAATAAAAGGCTTTAGTGGCGATTCCATCTTCCAGGAACTGGATAAGAGTTTGTCACTAACTTTGAGAACGTGGACAAGAGGAAAATGACTACATGCATCCAAAGGAGAACGTTGTAATTGAGGATAGGGGATCAACTGAGACTGGGAGACTGCTTTTTGCCTTCCCCGCCTGTTTTTCCTGCCAGGAAAATGGGGATGCCCACACGGGTGCGCAAGCACAGGAAGCCACATTTAGATGGCGCTCACAGAAGGTGGTGTATAGGTTATACAGCCTAAGCCCAGGGAATTTAACTCGGTCATGGGTCGAAATAAAATCCAAAACACAGAAAAGCCTTGCAGTCTACTTACTGGACTAGCCAGACCTCACCAAACGTTGACGCAATGGACCCGCGGGCTCAGGGGCGGGATGCGGCACCATCTCCAGAAGGTGCCGCGGAGGCTTCTGGGGAATGTAGTCTTTCGGTGGAATGGGCAGAGGGAACAGACTACACTCCGGAATCACTACCTGTTTTATGCACAGGTATCTTAAGAAAAGAGACGGATAGGTTGTCATTACGATAGACATTGTCCCGGTGAATTGACCTCGCGTCCCAGAAGCCGCAACGGTGGCGGCCTATGGTTGGCGGAGCCTGGGGGGATCCTGGGAACTGTAGTTCTGAGCGGCGGAGGACTGCACGGACTTAAGAGTGCCGGGTCTAGTGAGCGAGG